CAGGGGTTGCCCCGAGAGGGGGTGGAGGCCCCATCCCTGGGAACATTCCAGGCCAGGTTGGCCGGGGCTGTGAGCAACCTGATGTGGTTCAAGGTGTCCCTGCTCCTGCAGGGGGGTTGGGCTGGGTGACCTCTGGGGGTCCCTTCCCACCCAAACCATTCTATGATTCTATGATTGATTCTATGATTCCATTATGTAGGGAATTAAATATGAAGAGTCTGAAAGTTATTGGTATCTGTGATGGCTACCCATGAAGAACATGAGGACAAGATGCTCTTGGAGGGCTCATGGTAAAAGAGAGCTCCTGAAAGGAGCACGGTGTGGACTCGGTGAAGATCGTTCTCTTGCAGAGCTTGTCAAGAATTTTCTATTTTTATGTTTTATGTCTGTAAGGCAGCTCTTTTCATATGGATGCAAAGTTTTCACATATCTTACTGGCACAGGAGGCTTCCAGGATTTCTTCTTTCTCGTGGGCTAAAAACCAAGGCATGTGCTTTAAAGAGCCGGAATGTCTTGTCACTCGCTGTTTTGCATCCTGTTGTGAATGGCTGACAAGAGCTCAGTGCCAACATTACTCTGTCCAGGTTGCCCTTATTCTTCTGCAGTGATTAAGTTATCAAAAGGCAAATGGGAGAGTGAAGTTGGGTTTTTGCGCGTGCTGCATGTTGGCTATCTTTCATTTATTTTGTATTTTGCTGGAATGAAAAGTCTGTTGGAGCTCATAGGTGCAAAGCTAAATTATTTAAAATGCTGTTTAATTCAGGTTATGAGAAAATGCCCCATTCTGTGCTTACTGGAATATCAAAACTACCACCTGAGTGGATAGAAAAGAAAGTCCTGCCGAGAGGGACTTGGGGGTGCTGGTGGATGAAAAGCTGGACATGAGCCGGCAATGTGCACTGGCAGCCCAGAAGGCCAACTGTACTCTGGGCTGCATCAGGAGAAGCGTGGCCAGCAGGTCAAGGGAGGTGATTCTGCCCCTCTACTCTGCTCTGGTGAGACCTCACCTGGAGTACTGCGTCCAGCTCTGGAGCCCTCAGCACAAGAAGGACATGGAAGTGTTGGAGCGGGTCCAGAGGAGGGCCACAGAAATGATCCGGGGGCTGGAGCCCCTCTCCTATGAGGACAGGCTGAGGGAGTTGGGCTTGTTCAGCCTGGAGAAGAGAAGGCTGCAGGGAGACCTGATTACAGCCTTTCAGTACCTAAAGGGGGCCTATAGGAAAGACGGGGAAAATCTTTTTAGTAGGGCCAGCTGTGACAGGACAAGGGGTAATGGTTTTAAACTAAACCAGGGTAGGTTTAGACTAGATATAAGGAAGAAGTTCTTTACAATGAGGGTGTTGAAACACTGGAACAGGTTGCCCAGAGGGGTGGTGGAGGCCCCATCCCTGGAAACATTCAAGACCAGGTTGGACAGGGCTCTGAGCAATCTGATCTAGTTAGCAGTGTCCCTGCTCACTGCAGGGGGGTTGGACTAGATGACCTCTAGGGGTCCCTTCCAACCCAAAACATTCTATGATTCTATGATTCTATGATTCTATGAACATATGATTATGTATTTGCTGAAGCCTGGAGGCAGCTGCTGGGATGGGGTGTGGAAGGGTTTCCATGCTGCTTCATCGATCCATCATCTGCCACCGCAAAGCCAGGGTCCCCTGATCACAGGGTCGCTGCCTCAGCTCTGTGCTGGGGCCCTTGGTGCTTTCTGCGCTTTATCTAAACCGAGTCAAGGCTTTTATCACTTTTTCTCCCCATTCCTCTCTCAGAAGGTCCTGTATGTTGGAGCCCATGACTCCTGTCTGAGGCTTGGGAGGGCTGAGCCTCCTGGGCCGCAGGGGTGCAGGACCTCTCGCCGCATCTCGAACGATGATGTCGGTGAAGCAGCTCGGTGTCTTTAAGTACTCGGCAGAAAAATGTCAACAAGCAGAGTGCAATGCTTTGGATGCGTACGTTTCTGTGACTAGCTGATTGGTGTCTGTCGAGGTTGCGTGCTGACTGGTTTTGAGTTCCCCTCTCGTGGGTGCCAGGCTACGCTGTGGTGCTCCCGCCCTTCGGCGGCGGCTGATTAACTCCATCTCTCACCCTAATTCGCTTTACGAATCTCCTGCTCTCCCTTCCCGTCTCCCGCAGACCCCCCCGCCGTGGAGCCCACCTTCCTGGAGATTCGGCAAGGCCAAGGCCGGAGCATCACCATGAGCTGCCGGGTCCTGAGGGCGTACCCCACCCGGGTCCTCACCTACGAGTGGCGCCTGGGCAGCAAGCTGCTGCGCACCGGCCAGTTCGACATGCAGGACTCCACCGAGTACACCATCAGCAGCCTCTCCCGCGACAGCTACGGCATCTACAACTGCAACATCATCAACGAAGCCGGCGCTGGCCAGTGCATCGTCCTGGTTACAGGTAGGCTTGGTGGTGTCTCGGTGTGCCGAGGCGATGGGCTGAGCGTGCCGCAGGTCTGCGTGCCGCTGGGCGACGCTCCTCCTGCTCCAGCTAACGAATTCCCAAGGAGGCACAGCCCGCGAGGTAGAATCATAGCTTGAGGCGCCTGGTTTGGATTCTGGGGCAGGGCGGTAACAAAATAGGAGATTTAGCTTATTTCAGGTTTTTCAGGTGCAAAATGTAAATCTGCCTTCTCTGCAGGCATCTGTCAATATGCTTTTGTGTGCGGCCTGGGAGAGTCGTCAGGCAGCAAATTTCTTCCATTTGAAGTTTGCAAGGGGGTTGAATTCCCCCTTCCCTTTTGGTCTACTCAGCGAGCTTAGAGGGCAGGGCGGACAGACCACAGGCTCAGGCAACTTCAAGCTACTTCAGGTACAGAGGGGTGTGGAAATTCCTTCCTTTTCTCAAAAAGCAAAGGATTTTGTGAGGTTAGTACGCAAGATCACAGACTCGGGGAGGATGTGCAGCCCCTGCCGTGATCTACCCATGTTGTGTAATCAAGGGGTTGAGCCAAACGTTGTATGTCTTTGATCTCCCTGGTAACAGATGATAGGACGAGGGGGAATGGTTTGAAGCTGCGCCAGGGCAGGTTTAGGCTGGACATTAGGAAAAACTTCTTCACTGAAAGGGTTGTCAGGCTCTGGAATGGGCTGCCCAGGGAGGTGGTAGAGTCCTCATCCCTGGAGGTATTTAAAAGAAGGATAGATGAGGTGCTGAGGGACAGGGTTTAGTGGTGGGATGGCAGGGTTAGGTTAAAGGTTGGACTCGATGATCTCAAAGATCTTTTCCAACCAAAGTGATTCTATGATTCTATGATTCTATGATCTTTAGTAGCTTGGATCTGCATGTTAAACTGGTTGTTTAGACGTGCAAGCATTGATTTTTCCTCTACTGGAGATCAGTTACCATGACTTGGAGACTCAGTTGCCTGACATTGCAACACCCTGTGCCTGCAGCAGATGTTGTGCCCAAGCTGAGGTCCTCTGCTCACTGGAGTCACATCAGCTGTAGGTTCCCAACCCTCTAGGCTGGTTGTCCAGGCACAACATTGATTTTTAGAATCACTGGAGGGAAAAAAAAGCACCTCTGTTAAGTGAACCAGCTCCTCCCAAGGTCTGCAGTGGATCAGGAGCCCCTGTTCCTCTGCACCAGCTGAGAGGGGTCTCCAGCCGCCCGCCCTGCGTGGGCTCCCTCCGGAGGTCCCAGCCTCCATTAGGATATCGGAGCAGTAGCACTGTTTCAGCTCAAAATCCCTCCCATCAGCTGCTTGAAAAGGAAAGATGGGAAAAGAAACCAACAAGAAATTCAGAGTATGTAGAGGAGAGCTACTTAGAAGGAATGACCCCCCATCTTAGTTGGGATTTTATCCTCGTTTAACCGACTTAGGTCCAGCTACGATCCAATCTAAACAAGGGTTTGCTTTTGCGGTTGCTGGCAGCCTGGCAGCTCCCTGAGCCCTGCCGTGGTTTAGGAAAATGGGCATTATTATCTGCTACCAGCAGAAAGGGCCTGGATTTCATGGATGAACTGCAGAGCAGCTCTTGGGGGCCCTGCTCTGCACAAGTCCTGGATATTGGGGTTGACCCTCCATGCGCATCTGTCCTGGGAAGAAAGAAAAAACAGTTCGATTCGGTTCCCCAGTGTTTTTCAGGAAAATTTGGTTTTATAGGAAAAGATGTGGGCCTGCTTTCATGTGGATACCTTTTATTTTTTTTTCTCTTTTGGACTTCATTGAATGGCATCTCGTTGGCAAGGATTTAATTTCAGATGTGATGGGGGCGCAGCGAGCACCCCGATGACCGATGGCTCTACTTCTTCCAAATGTAATCAAGCCTTTGGCTGACTTACCACTCAGAGCCCGCGTTGAGGGTATTTCCACAGCCACCAACTCCTCCAAAGCTTGGGAGTTCAGTCCAAAAGGTGGCTTCGAAGGCAACCAGAGAAACAGTCTTTTTCCTCAAATGAGTAAATGCAGTTCAATTTACTATTCATCATGCTTTGGACCCGACGGAAACCTATTCTAAGGCAATTATTTTGCCAAGACTGGGGCAATCTGAGTGGCTTCCCGTGATTTATTGCCATGCCAAAGCAGGGCACGTTGCTGAAAATTAGTACTAAAGTGGTTTTATGATCTAGTGTCTCGCATCCCTCTGTGCGCCTTGCTCGGTTTTAGTTCACACCATTATGCGAATTTATGCTGTGTGGCTGCGTTAAGGATGCTCAGAGTAACACTCAGGGTTATGACTTCCGTGCTTTCCGCAGTCTTTTAAGGTTAAACCTGACGCGTTTAGTAAATACATTCTTTGACGCGCGGAGTTGAAGCTGCTCTTGGGGAAGAGCAGCAGCTGTATTCTGGTCCCCGGTCTCATCAGGACAGATGAGGTGAAAGCCCTGGGGAACTGAAAATGTGTAGCAGAAAAATGACAAAGTGGTTAAAAAGGAGGCTTACATTTCACCGGGAACGCGAAGACGGAAAAGAAATGGCTCACTTCATAGACACATGCATGGAGAAAAAAAGCCAAATAAATAACCCAGTGGCAGGAATCTGGTGATAGCAGAGAGCTTTTGCTTGGGGTGGAGCAATGGGAGTTGTTGTAGCCCGTTTTTAGTTGGTTTTATTTCCAGGTTTTCATGTAGTAGCAGCATGCTGCAATGCTCACGTCGCAGAGGCTGCAGAGAAGCATTGGTATGCTAAGAGAAAGCTTTTCAGTACAGTATTAAAAGCAGCCTGGATGAAAAGATTTATACTGGCCCTGGAGTTTGCAAAACCTCTTTTTACTGCATTTGTATTTTGAGCCAGATTTGAGGAGATGCAAGCAAAATAAATCACATGCGGAGAAGAGAGTTGATTTATGTCGGGTGGGCAGATCCGAGGCAGATTTAACCCACTACCATCTTAAAAATAAATAAGAACATACAAGCAAAATTGTATCTGTGGGAAAGCAAAGCTGAGTTCACGCTACTCGCAGCTTCTCTACCTGTATATTTTATTCAGTGGTTGCTAGTGCACATCATAACCAAAGAGGAACAAAAAGTACATTTTGGGCAATGTGTCATTAAACCCCTGCCAAGGCTGGAAATAAATAAGAAAAAGAAAAAAACCCAAACAAAACCCGATGCACCAAATGGCATGAATGGCACAGGAGCCTGCGTGCGGGTGGAGGAAGGATTTGAGCGCCGGAGAAACAGGCTGGGTGAGGGCCTGGGGCGGCGGGGGCTCCTCCGGGGGCCGACCCAGAGCCCTCCCCAGCTCCCATCCTGCCTCCTGCCAGCCCAGGCCACCCCGGGGACACCTTTTTCACAGCAGCTTGGGTCTCTTCAAGGCAGGGGAGGTGGAACTCAGTATTTTCTAAGTTCCCAGAGTGCAGGAGATCGATCAAGCCAGCCCTGGCGTGGCTGTCAGAAGGGCTGGTGCTACAGCAGGGGTCGCTCAGCGATATTCTGCGCACCCAGGGAGCTATTTGGGATTAAGATTACCCGTAATTGAGGGTACCTGCCAAGTCTCGTTATAACACTTTTATCTTCAGCAGCTTGCACCGTTGGCAAGGTTTAACCGCTTGCGCTGAAATTTGCTCTGCTGGTGCCTGCCTCGGGCTGAATTGTTCACAAAATTTGCGTCCCAAGAGGTTTTTTTAAGTAAGGGAGACAATATTTTGTTTCATCCGCATTAAATTCTTACAGCTGTTTAATCGGCGTCTTTGGACGGGCCAGATGCACATCCTTGAGTGATTCTTGCTTAAGTCACATGGTGAAATCTGTCTGTCCAACTTTTATGGTGCGGGCTTGACAGTGCCATATATAATTTGTGAGATACTAATTAAAGTAGTAATCCTAACACAGGGTAGTGCTAAACAAAGCAAGTAACGGCACTCTGTTGACATTTCAGTACTTAAAGTGAGCCTGTAGGGAAGACGGGGAAAATCTTTTTAGTAGGGCCAGCTGGGACAGGACAAGGGGGGATGGCTTTAAACTGAAGCAGGGCAGGGTTAGACTGGATCTAAGGAAGAAATTCTTTCCAGTGAGGGTGGTGAAACCCTGGCAGGGGTTGCCCCGAGAGGGGGTGGAGGCCCCATCCCTGGGAACATTCCAGGCCAGGTTGGCCGGGGCTGTGAGCAACCTGATGTGGTTCAAGGTGTCCCTCCTCCCTGCAGGGGGGTTGGGCTGGGTGGCCTCTAGGGGTCCCTTCCCACCCAGAACATTCTAAGATTCTATGATTACATTAATTAATGAGCCAATCTTTCATTATTTACTTATCCAGTCTTGCATCACACTTTCAGTGCTTCCAGCCAAGAGCAGCGTCAAGCCAATCGGCTGGTGATTACAGATGTTATAATTGCTAGCTGCCAGCATGACCACAGGTTTCCCTTTCTTCGGAGCTTCACTGGTGTTACTGAATTAAAGACAGATCAGAGATCACTGTGACCAAACCTGGGCGGTGCACGTACCCGCCCGTGTCCCCAGTCTACCTGGGGGTGTCCACTTGGGCTGCTTGAGCATCTCCCATCTCCCTCCTTCCTTTCCCACATGCCCTGGGAAATTTGAATCTGAAGCGCTGGACACTGAATCATCCCTTCCGTACAGTCCCAGCACCCGTCCCCGGTAGGAGCTGTGCGATTCCTCGTGTAGCATTGCAGGAACATCCTTGCTGGAAAGTTGTTCAGAAATCTCTCCCCCAGTGTTTCTTCTTTGCCCTCGGCACCACGCGTGGTACCGCTGTGGTCTGTGCAGCATCAGGCTGAAATCATGGCAGAATTACCATCCAGCCTTCTGTGAAAGCCAGGGTGCTCTTGCCACAAGGGCATCATCTTAAAATAAATTGCAGACGCTTGAATATGCAGGGTATCGGGTTCTTCTCCGTGGCCCTGTTAGCAGAATTAAACAGTGTTCTGCTGTGTTTTATGGCTTTCTTAATCCTTTTTTTTATTAGGGAAGTCCTTTTGCACTGAACTGAGGGATAGAAG